TCATAGGGAAAAGTATCAGCCATTTTGTTGGTGTGAACGTGCTTTGTAATCATTATGAGAAAAACCTATACTTAACTTGCGTTAACTTGTGTTCAGGGTTATTGATGAGGAGGAGTGGAATTCTCCAAAACTACTATAACCCAGTAACACACGTTTATCAAAGTGTAGATTGAACTGGGCCTCCCTTGAGCTTAGAATTCGAGATTAAACAAATTTCGGAATACTAAGTTTATTTATTGTATCTGCTATTGTGTGGTTATATAATGTTAAAAACTGAATAGTGGCCAATGACACTTTTTCTTCACATTCACCTATCCAGCGTATAGGTTTTTTCTCATAGTGACTACAAAGCACGTTCACACCAACAGTATTTTTAACAACAAGTTTGAAAATTAAAGTAGGCTGTAGCGATAACTTAAATTAAGTCTTTAAGTAAATCTAGCATAAAAACCGTTAAGGATTACTACAACTTTGTTACTAACCCCTTAAATCATTCAAGTAAAGGCGGGAAGAAATTGCATATTGCTGTAATATTAAAAATGTTCCCGCCAAAGAATCAGTTATTTCTTTCCTTATATGCTCGGTTTAATTCGGGTGAAGAACAGAATGACCGAGAAACGTAAACATATAACAAAACGGTGAACCTCCAAACATAGAAATGGTTTTGATGGCACCAAGACATTAAAAAAGAATCTGTATATTATAGTAGTTTGTTTTATAAAACACGATGGCGTTATCCCACCTCGTACTTTAGAGCTGTAGTTGACTTCTCTTGTCGTAGCTCATCCAACTGAGACTTAAACTGAAGCACGCTCTTCACCATGCCTTCCATTCTACAGAAAAAAAAACATAAAATTAAAACTATATGTTTCATTCATCCTTGTCCTTTATCTAAGCACTTTCTTGTACGAGTCATCTGAGCCAAGTATCTTATTTAGGGACAGTAAGATCAAGAATTCTCGTACAAAATGAACAAGAACCAAAGATATATATAAAATACATTAACATCTTTAAATAGCAAGGCTAATTCAAGATGGGATCCGATCCAATATAATCTGTTTTTGAAAGAATACGAAATTTGCCAGAGAAATTTGTTGTATTATGTGTACAGATATGAATATGCCACCCAAAACAGAAATCAAATAAATTACCCATTGTTTATGGTCACATTTTATATACAGTTCTTCAAAAACTTCGACATTTCTAGCATCACTTGCACGATAGGGTTCGAATCCCGTCGACGAACATGTCTTTCAGCCATAGGGGCATTCTTATGTGACGGTCAATCCCATTATTAGGTGTTAGAGCGTAGCCCAAGAGTTGACTAGCTATCATTTCTAAATTGGCCCGGCATGGCCAGGTGGTTAGGGGGCGCTCGACTCGCAATCTGCGGGTTCGAATCCCCGTCACACCAAACATGCTCGCCCTTTCAGCCGTGGGAGCGTTATAATATGACGGTCAATCTCACTATTCATTGGTAAAAGAGTAGCCCAAGAGTTGGCGGTGGGTGGTGATGACTAGATGCCTTCCCTCTAGTCTTACACAGCTAAATTAGGTACGGCTAGCGCAGATAGCTCTCGTGTAGCTTTGCGCGAAATCTATAACAAACAAACAAACATTTCTAAACTAGGGACGGCTGGAGCAAATAGCTCTCGAATAGCTTTGCGTGAAATTCATCAAAGAAATTAACACTTACGTTAAATAACGTTTGCTAAGTTACCAAATATCACTTTCATTTTCGATAATATATATCTTTAAATTAACCAATCAAAGCGCTTTGATAGGATTTAGAAGCTAGAAAATGAAAGTAACAGCGAGCGCAGATAGAAATTCCACGAGGTTATTTATTAAAGTGATTGTTTTCGTTCAGTCACTTCTGATGTCATTATCTCGTGTGATTGAGTAGAAGTCATTGCGAGTTCGCTGTCATTCCTCCCCAAAAGAATACTAACTGTCCATGAAATTGTAAGGATTTTAAATATAGTATAGTTTTCGTTCTGAATGTGTTAAGACGCTGAATTGAAAATAGAATAAAAAACAAAACATGAAACAGTTTCAAAACGACAATTTTTCCCGTTATACTTCTCACTTTGACGTTGATGTTATCATACGAGATATGTAATTCACACTTTATCTGCAATTTGACACATAATTTAAGGCCTATGTAGCCCCAGAGTGCGCATAGTAAAAGTATATATTTCCGAGCACTTATTCACCACTACCAAAGCGATAGTGAAAACTCAGACATTCTCATGTTTCCGTTACTTGTTTACGGCAGCTTACCCACAGTGTCAATATTTTGTTTCTTGGCAACTTTCTTGGTTGACCAGCTATCCACATAAATAAACACCAATATGTGTATCTGTTCCTTATTCGTTTCCACATTTCTTGATCAATCTTGACACAGTGATACAGGATGACGTGAGGAACGTCATGGGGGGGGGGGGGGGTTGGTCCCCCATCTAGATTCGGAAAAACTACCAACGTTGTATATCCCTCAGCATTAGAATGAACTATGTAACCACTATTATTAGGATTCTTGAAAGCAGTACGTCTTTCTTTTCAGTATTAGTATCTTTATGTATTTTTATCACACTTTTGATGTTTATTATGTTAAGGAAAAAATAGAAGCATAATTTCCTATCCCTTATTAGAAACGAGTTTTTATTTCACCCGTTCAGCTAGTCTTTAACAAAGTAAGCACATAAGTATCATTCCATACTCTGTGCTGAAGAAAGATATTACACAAATAGGGTGTGAAATGGAAAACCAGGATTGGTGTTGATTTGGATCAGTCATATACATGTTGTTAAACCACTTCTATTGCATAAGTATACAACGTTTTAAAATGAGGACAACATAATCTCTAAAGCATATACTTTGTTTGTTTGTTGCTAAGCGCAAAGCTACACAATGAGCTATCTATGCTGTATTTGCCACGGGTATCGAAACCTGGATTTTAGCGTTATATGTCTTCAGACTTACCATTGAGCCACTGGTGGGCTCACGTACTTTGACATACATGAGTATTGGACAAACTAAAGACAAATTCAGTCGTGATGTTGTTACCAGAATACACGTTTGTACTTATTTTCACCTGAAGATGTTCCTGATAATGTTTACTTGAAATCAGACCATTGTGTGTCCATGAAGGTTATTTGTGTGTCCAGGAAACACGGCAAGGAAACAACTGAGCAGCGTCCGGGTCGTCCTGGTCCATTGGAGAGGACAAAAAGGGCTGTCAAGAAGAGCATCGAAATGGATCCCAGATTATCGCCTGCAGAAGTGGCCAAAGTTGGTGGGATGAGCCCGAAATCTGTTCAACGGTTATTTACTTTCTATAATTTCTGTTGTTCATCAAGGTTAATATTAAATCAATGTCGATAAATTAACCGTTGGAAATGTCTGGCTTCTTTTATGTAGAAGACAGTTTGTCGTTGTGTGATTGCTGTTTTTTTTGCATTAGATGAAGGAATGGTTGAAGACGTAATGGTTGTCTTTTGAGCGATAATATATCGTCGTCAATGAATTATTACATCAATGATATTTTGGGGTAAAAGGAGTTTTCTAAATATGATAATATAAGGTTCAAATGGTAGAAGAAAAGTCACAGTTTAATTGGTTCTTTAGAAATACGCTGACAAACAATGTTAGTGTCCTAGTTACAACAGAGGATTAACAAATAAATTGGGCCCGGCATGGCCAGGTGGTTAGGGCGCTCGACTCGCAATCTGAGGGTTGCGGGTTCGAATCCCCGTAACACCAAACATGATCGCCCTTTCAGCCGTGGGGGCGTTATAATGTGACGGTTAATCCCACTGTTCGTTGGTAAAAGAGTAGCCCAAGAGTTGGGTGGTGATGACTAACTGCCTTCCCTCTAGTGTTACACTGCTAAATTAGGGACGGCTAGCGCAGATAGCCCTCGTGTAGCTTTGCGCGAAATTCAAAACAAAAAAATAAATCATAAAGAAATACTGATACCTTTGTAAGTCGCGCTGAAGTCTGATTAGATGAGCTTTGCAACGTCTGTTCTCTGATTGGGCCTCATTAAGACGTGTCTCCGCATTCTGCTGCCACATTGTTTCTTTAGTTAATTCTTCTTTTACGGCCCCCTGTATATTACAGCAGCCAGCTAATTACTAATCGTTTAAATTAAACTTCTTAAAAAAATAACGAATTAACTTAAAGAAGGAGAGAAAAATTCTAAACGATAACGAACTGTTTTGTAGTCACAATTAATAAACATCGGAGCGTAATCTAATAATGTAGATTAATCAAAATACTCTAACTTTAAGAAAAAAAGGCTATAAAAATTACTGTACAAATGATTACATTAGTGTAGTTTATTTGATGAGGTAGAAATGTATATCATAATCAAAGCAACTTATAGGTTATATTACAGTTTATTCTATGAGGTAGAAATGTATATCATAATCAAAGTAACTTATAGGTTATATTACAGTTTATTCTATGAGGTAGAAATGTATATCATAATCCTCTTCCTTGGATTACACGTGTATAACCATCTATTTGGAAGACTTTGGTGGAAATCTATAGAAAACTAAGACTAATTAGTGTTAATTAAAATCGAAATACCTCTTCCTTGGATTACGCGTGTATAACCATCTAGTTGGAAGACTTTGATGGAAATTTCTGGAAAACTAAGACTAAGAGCTTTAGAATATACATATTGTGATTATTGATTTTTCTTCTTCTACGAAAAGTATTGATGTGATTTGTTTTTATTTAAATCATTATTCTCTTTGAGGTCAATGATTAATTGAACGATAATTAATTTTTCTTCTGTGTATGATCAATTAAACTAAAGTAACATACCATTGCTGTTCAATAGTGATTTTTAAAAATTTTTTATCTGCGTGTCACGTTCGTTAAATTATGAAATTACATACAGTTTAGATGTTACATGTTGGATTTAACTTTAATATGGAAATTTTTGAAAAACAATAACATGTTTAAAACTTTCAATATAAATGCTGGAGGTATCCCACATTCTACAAGAAATTTAGAAAACAGCTAAAATGGAATAGAAAAAAGATATGTATCGTTTAAAAATAACGTTTCGACACTGATAACGTGGCATCAACTATCCCATTTTAGTTGTTTTCTGAATTTAAAAAAATGTTTAAATATTTTTGTGCGTGTTGCAGCATTTTCAGTGTATTGATTTAATACGAGTCATGTTGGATCAAGTTTGATTCAATAACTCTTAACAAAAAGAAGCGACTTATCAATATAAGCACACTAAATTGACAAGCAGATCATTAATAAGCGTAATTAAGTGGGTTTATTTTGCGAGACGTACTACATGTTTCGACAGAATATTGGTTTGTCGTCTTCTTAATTTAACTGTGATTTATTTCGGACTGTCCTATACCTTTCACTAATAAACTGTAATATAACCTATAAGTTGCTTTGATTATGATATACATTTCTACCTCATAGAATCAACTGTAATATAACCTATAAGTTGCTTTGATTATGATATACATTTCTACCTCATAGAATAAACTATGATATAACCTATAAGTTGCTTTGATTATTATATACATTTCTACCTCATAGAATAAACTGTAATATAACCTGTAAGTTACTTTGCGTGTATAACCATCTAGTTGGAAGACTTTGGTGGAAATCTATAGAAAACTAAGACTAATTAGTGTTAATTAAAATCGAAATATGTAATCCAGGGAAGAGATATTTCGATTTTAATTAACACTAATTAGTCTTAGTTTTCTATAGATTTCCATCAAAGTCTTCCAACTAGATGGTTATACACGTGTAATCCAAAGAAGAGGTATTTCGATTTTAATTAACACTAATTAGTCTTAGTTTTCTATAGATTTCCATCAAAGTCTTCCAACTAGATGGTTATACACTTGTAATCCAAAGAAGAGGTATTTCGATTTTCATTAGCACTGCGGTAAAGATTACATTAACAGAACATAACTAATGTACTTCAGCTTCCATAAAACACGTAATACTGGTGATTCTTTCTGCTTTATATTTACTATTGAAATTGCTATTCATGCTCTGGAGCACTAGAGTTCCCCCTTTATGGCCTCGTACTTAAGGGAAGAGTGCGCCGTTACCGGCACAATTTAATTTATTACCTCAATAAAGAAAAGTTTCATGATTGTATGAAAAATCACGACCTATTGCAAGCAATCTTTAACGAAACGCACGAGCACATGCATTGTTGATAGTAGAGTCTGTATCCTAATGGCCCTTTCAGCCGTTTATCGATCTCAGTTATTAATTTTGAGCTATAAAGAAATAATTTTGAGAAGCTGGAAAGAACATTAAATAGTGCGCTGACGATTTACTTGTCTTCATTAAAGTATTTTACATAAAACGCGTGCTTAGATCTATTAAGATAAGATTCGTCAGTCCCAAACTTGCTCACCGATTCAGTTTAAAATAACAAATGAATAAAAAAAAAGAGAGTACTTGTTACTACATAGATAATAGAAAAGTTACATTTTCATTTGTCTCCCGGTGACACAGCGGTAAATCCACAGACTTACAACGCTAAAATCCTTAGTTCGTGTCCCCGCGATGAACACAGCAGATAGCCCAGTGTGGCTTTGCTCTCAAACAAACACGGTTCTCAAACGTAACAATAACTTGTAACTGCGTTGTCATCAGTAACCTTTTTTTTTTATTGTTTTAGCGTACATCTGTCTGCACGAAGGGTTATCAGCGCTGTCCCCCCCCCCGGACTGATCGGTAGATCTGAAGGCTTACGGCGTTAAAAATCGAGTTTCGATACTTGTCGTGGACAAAGCACAGGTAGTCCATTGTGTATTTATACAATAAGAACTAAACTATCAACACTGTATTCTTTGCGTTGATAGAATCACGAATTCTTTCGTTATAAGCCCTTAAATTTACCACGGAACTCCACGAGACAATGCTTTATTAATATTTTCTTTAAATGATTATAATTATTTAATCATGTAAGAATTTGCGTGTGATTCAGACGTAGATAAAATAGGCACTAAAATACAGTTGATAATGTTTTAAGGCTAGAAGACTTTAATGTGAAGTGGAATTGTTTGTTTTGTTTAAGCCACATAGGGGCTAACTGCACTGTGCCCACCTTACGGATGGAATCTAAAAAAAATTGCTTTATACGCCCTCAAGCTTACGACCGAGACACTGGTGAGCAAGAATTGAAATTATATTTATTTTGAAAAGTAAACTGGTGAAATAAAAACAATTACAAATCATCAATAATTTGAAAAAAATATAAAATTCAACAAGTATGTAGGGAACTTAAATGAAGAGCATACAAAACATTTAATGTTTTCGTATCTCATCAATTAAACATTTTTAATAACGTATTAAAGATCAACAACACACACAAAAAAGAACATTTCTAAGTGACAGCCGAAATTCTAAATCAGGACTCACCTACTGTTTTTAAAATTTATGAAATAAAAAAGATATCCAGAAGTAGTTCGATGACCTAACTTTAGTATTATCTTACGAATAAAGAGGGCGTGAAGGTCTATTTTTTTTTTTTTTACAGATTCTGAAATAAAGTGCTACATTTACAGCAAGTTCCCGGACCCAAAAAATATTGTGAATATTTTTTCTTTCGAAAACTCTGGAATAAAACAAAACCCATTAAGAGTTCCAGTAGCGCTAGTAATTCAATTCAAGTTTTTTGTAGATGATATCATTTTGAAAAATCCTAAATCTGAATTAAAACATCATCAACTTAACGATAAAATGGTTGATCCATCTCTATAGCGACGCTCATAAGATATTTATTTGCACATTCAGTATAAACGTATCAAAGAGTTGCTGTTTAAAAACGTATTGTGGTTATTATTTTCTCATCAAATTTTGTTATTCGTCTCTTCATTTCCTGTCCTAACTTACATGAAAATATATAATAAAACAATCCTTGTACACCTGCATATAGACACACAAGCCTGTAAGAGTATTTAGATTTCTCCAAGTTGTATTAAACGTATAAATGGATTACTTTAAGACGTTTTTGATGTATTTTGTTAAATTAGCTTACAGAGCACAATACAGTTCTTACTGTTTGACTATAAACGAAAAGGAATAACACACCGATCAAATGATATAAACGTATCTTGTTTGTAAGGATTTGCTGTCCTCAAGTGTACCAATGATTCTCATAGAATTATGGACACTGCAATTCAAGGTTACGTAAAAAAGTGTTACTTCTGTCTTGTTAACGGTATTTGGAGTGTCATGTTCCTCATCCCACAAAGAGCAGCCTAACCACATGTGCGTTTGTTTTCAAGTCAATATCGACGTTTCAATGGATAAATCTACCATGCCGAGTTCAGGAGACTCTCCTCGTGACTAACTTTTATAGTCGTAAAACATAGATGGCTTTTATTATTATTATTTTCTTCTGGAATAAATATGGCGACGGACTGTCGCCACATAGTCACTGGGGTTCGTTAAGCTAGGCCCACGCTCACTGGTACATGGAAAAGGAGAGATAGAAGCAAGATCTACTGAAACATGCTTATTGTCACGACTCTCGTGGCGCCGCTGTCAGCACCACTGGTTATACAAGCAGAAGAAATGACGAACTACGCTGTTCAACACTAAGTGACAGAACCATTACAATCAAACCTAGTGTGACCAATAATTTTCATGTTCAATAATATGTACGCGTGTTAAACAATCGCATACACACAAGCATGTGAAAATGAAAGCAATAATATCCAGATATTTCGCAGATTTTAACACGCTGACAAACTTTCTTCCATTTTGACATCAGTAAACAGCAGCATTTTGAACAACTGGTTTTTTACTTCTTACAGGTTTACAGCTCGAATTTATATTCAAGTCTAACATGTTAGGATTACGTAGCATAAAGAATAACTAGAAATATTTCAGCGCTTTAACAACCATTTTGATATCTTTTTTTTTTTTCTAGGAAGGGGAGCGTTTAATTCTACAGATGCAAAACAGCGAAATAGACATCTTCCATCCAAAGCTTTCATTTCGCATTGGGGCCCTGCATGGCCAGTTGGTTAGGGCGCTCGATTCGCAATCTGCGGGTCGC